AACGAGATTTAAAAAGTGATTGTGACATTCTGAAACGAACAATCTGTTTATTTTTTAAACAATTAAAATCATTATTCAGCGGCATTATTTAACAGTTTATCCACATTCACTTCCAAGAATATTCTTTTTAAAAGAAAAATAGAAACTTTGAAGAACTATAGTTGACCGGTGTGTGTGAAATATCGTTCTTCTTCAAAGGAAGCTTTAATCACACGAAGTTTCTTCAAAACATCACATATTTCACTAAACTAATTTGCATTTAATTTAATGCACTTTCCTAAACGACTTTGTTGTCTCAGATTTTCAGGAAGTATCAGCCTTAAAGTTAAAAAACTTTTCAAATAATACACACTGCATTCTGTTTTAAATAATATACTAGGACTAATGTATTATTGGAATATTATTATTAGTTTCTATAAGAACTAACTGAAGAGAACTAGGAATTTACTTATACTATCAGACACAAAATCATCATCATTTTCAATCATTTTGAAATACAGTTTTCCCCATCAAGATTTCAAAGAAATTCAATTTTAAAGAGTTGAAAGAACAAATTTTCAACTTTGAATCTGTTCTGTGTTCGAACTCTCACTCGAGACCCTTGGGATGCTTTTTATAGTAAATTATAACATTTCAAAAATTCCTCTCGAGTTTCATCGACAGATTAATAAATCAATTTTATGACAGCACTATATGCAATAAAATCGTTAGTGTATCAGATATTTCGTAGTGCAAAGATTTTAGAGAGATCTTAAAGATTTAAAGATCTTCCTGTCGTTCTAATCCTCGTAGATTTTTCGTATAATAAAATATTTAATTATTTAAATATTTAAATATAAAATAAAATTACACATAATATAATTATAATTATATATAATAATATAAAATTATATTTTATAGATTATATTTAAAGATCTTCCTGTTGTTCGTTCTAATCCTCGTGGATTTTTCGTATAATAAAATATTTAATTATTTAAATATTTAAATATAAAATAAAATTACACATAATATAATTATAATTATATATAATAATATAAAATTATATTTAATTCTTACTCAATTCCGAAACAAACGTGACATAATGATTTTTCGTACAATAAAGTGTCATTTAATTCTTACTCAATTCAATTCCAAACAAACAAACGTGATATAATGAGAGATTGCAAGATTTTTTTCATCGGGCGTGTGTATCTTCGCCTCGCGCAGAGTCGTGGAATTTTTCAAATCGCTGAGTAAATGTCCACGAAATATTTCATGGCATCAATCCGTTTCTCGATATCCGAATAAAATTGCACGCCGACGTTCGTCGACAGATTAAACAGCGTTCCTAAAGTGTATATTTCCATAGTGAAAAGAGGCGTCGTGTCATCCCGTGTCGCGCGATATACGTATACATATTCATCAGACAGCACTGTAAATATTGTACGAGTAAACTTTCACAATTTTGCGCAAATAACATCTCCCGCTCGAGCGTTTCCAAAATGGCGTTTCGCTTCGAGCTTCCCTCCGACAATCTCTCTGACACTGATTCGCGTTGTTGTTTAGCTCGCGTAAATAGTGCACGAGCTAGAACATAGCTAAAACTGAATGGGAGAATTTAAAGTTTTTGCGAGCTCGAGAAATCAGTATTATTGATGTGGAAAATGAATTATGCGACGTAGTCACTGATTTTTGACTGACACAGAGTTAGAAGGCAGTCGATTTTGTTATATTTAAATATCGCCGGCTTTAAATATCTCACGAGATGGATTTTCGTGTGAATTTTTCTCTAATTTCATTCAGAACACTCCAAAATACTTCGCATGAGAGACAAAGACGATGCAACAGAGTAACATAATGTGATACAAGAGCATAATTCATACCTCTCGTACGATAGATTTTACGAAATTGAGATTAAAATATTTATTAAATTAATGGGTTTTGTATGAATGTAAATTATTATATAGTTATTTATTTATTTATATAAATATATAAATTATTATATAATTATTTATTTATTTATTTATTTATATAAATATATATTATTATATTATACATAGTTATAAATATAATTCTACAGAAAATGGCGAAAATTGAATCGATATTGATCTGAAAATGGTAAAAATGGTGAAAATTTCGGAGAGGAGCTTTATAAAACTAGGAGGTAGCGAAAATATTATCGATACAATTGACTTTGATACAGCACTGATTAACACGATAATTATTGATATAATAGCGAGATTAGTTCTCAACGAGTAGCTTCAATATCTCTGGATTCTATCTAAAATCACTGTCTCTCCAACCAGTACGTGGTACTCGAATTAGCCTCCCCCGATCGAAATCTCGTTCGTCCAGCTGAAAATAAAATAAAAGAGGAACTTTCTTAATTAAATCATTCACCTACGAATCGACGTTTCACGCCAGGTTAGCGCAGGCTCGAAATTACTTTCAAACTGGCCGGCTCTCGATAATTCCCGGGCTCTCCACGAGCGTAATTAAAAGTACCGCCGCGAGATTCGACGAAATCGCATCGAACCGATACTCTCTCTCTCTCTCTCTCTCTCTCTCTCTCTCTCTCTCTCTCTCTCTCTCCCCAATCAGTTTGCCCCTCGACCATCTTTCGTTCTGCGAAACAGGTACGGTGGAAGTTTCACGTCGTCTCGGAGAATCGGAACGGGCGTTCAATTCGAGTCGACGATGCGGGAAAATTATGGCCGTCGGTCGGTTAATGGAACAACGACGGCCAAGGAGCTACGAAACTTTTCAGAATATTGTCCGCGTGGTACGTGGCGTTCTAAACGGCGTGACGGTGGCCAAGTCAATTCCAAGCTCGATAAGAGCAGCGTATAATAATAAATAAAAGCCGATATGGAACTTCGCGTGGAGATGGGAGCTCGGGCGTGCTACGTTTTGAAAACGGAATTGTTCGGACCTTCGTGGACTGTTCGCGGAACGAAATGAAACTTTAGGCACTTACACTCGTGCGCGTTCACAATGAACTTATGCGTCGTAGTGAGTGAAGGATAATTTGTGTTCACTTGAATTTCAAAATTAACAACTGCAGTTTCAATAAACGATTGATGATACAGCTCGTTGCCATTGAATTACGACCGTTCAACATCTTTCGATATCTTATGGTAGAATTGAAGGATTCAAGTGTTATTTAATAATGAGTTTTATTAACTACTGATATATGCACGTTACGTAAGTATAAAATACGCAAAATGTGTGTTTTTCTTTTATATATATTATAACATATTATATTTTATTATATATATAATCTCATAATATATTTTATTTTAATATATATTATAATATTATATTATTATAATACATTTTATTTTATTATATATTATTATATATATACATATATTATATATTATATATTATAATATAGTTTATTATATTATATATTATATATTATAATATAGTTTTTAATATATACATGTACGTTATACACGTTTTATATAATCAAATCCATAAAAATCTATCAATTTTAGTAATTAAAATTAAAATATGGTGTTATGTGTATTGTATAATTAATTCTTAAAAAATATTTAATACTTCTAATACTTCCCTATTTTACGCACCAATTGGCACGCAAGCAGATTTACAGTTTTATTCGGAATATACTTCAAGAAATATTACTACCCCGCGAACATGCCGTTTCATTTCCGCTAGCATTTCTCTTCGTCTTCTATCACGTCAAAATTGTAATAGAACTAATCCCAGTTACGCGTGACATCCCGCATATTCTTCAAAGTAAATTTAGAAGGTGAGAAAGGACTGAAACAAAATACGAAATCGTAATTTCATGTGTCCGTGAACGATATATGTACAGGTGTCCTATTTCAATCTATAATGCAGGATGTCCCATTTTATTACTATATTATCTTATAAATATTATTAAATTTTATTATTTTCATATATTAATATAAATCTTATTAATATAAAAAATGTGTTACATTAATATATTATTATATTATATTAATATATAAAATTTGTATAATATTATATTAACATATTATATTTTATTATTTTTATACATTAATATAAATCTATTAATATAAAAAATGTGTTACATTAATATATTATTATATTATACTGATATATAAAATTTGTATAATATTATATTAACATATTATATTTTATTATTTTTATACATTAATATAAATCTTATTAATATAAAAAATATGTTACATTAATATATTATTATATTATACTGATATATAAAATTTGTATAATATTATATTAACATGTTATATTATTATAGAATATATTATATAGTGAGTTAACGAGTTATAAGGAACGTTGCTATGTTCGTGAACGTCGTTATGTTGTAAACCTAACCCATACCTTGCTCTATAATATATATTTTTTATAATATTATATTACTACATTATATATATTGTTATATAATATTATATTATACATTTTTTATAACATTATATTACTATATTACAGTATTATATAATATCAAATTAATATATAAAATTTACATGCACTGGTGCGCGAATTCACGAAACAATCGACGAACGGGTGGTTCGCCAGCGAGATTTGCGGTGGCGTACGGCATCGACACGAGAGAAAATCGACGTCCTACAAAGGATTCTTGCGTAATAACGCGTACGAGCCCGAAACGGACGGTCGCCCCGCGTCATCAACAGGTTTATCAACAGGTGAAAATGCCGATACAAACGCGGTCGACGAGTGACGAAAAGCGTAAGCTCGGATGGTGTGTCGTTCGCACGTGTAAGCCCGTGACAGGTGAACTGTACAGCTTGGGGAATTTTCAGCTACGTCGCGCGGTTGAATCGATAAAGCCACTTACGCTGGAACACTACGATGCCCAGCTGTAATCGCTTTTCATTCCCTCGCCAATTGTGATCCTGACGGTTTCAACGGTTTCCACAGAGTAGAAAATACCTGGAAAGAAAGCAGTGTACTCGTATACTCGGTTTCTTTTTTTCTTCTTTTTTCTTTTTTTTTTTTTTTTTTTTTTTTTTTTGTCTTCATATCGGATTTAAAAGATCAGTAAACTAACGTATAACTAATTCATCTTGTTTTTTTAAATAAAAATTACAAAAATTTTCGTAAAACATTCCATCTATTGCCCACCGAGCATTATTTACTAAATGGGATAGTGATGTATGGATAAGTTACTGAGGTATATTTACAAATGGAGGCTAGTTTTTGATCGGGCGCAGGAAAATATCAAATGCTACCGCATAAGCCTATAAGAAAAAATCTCGTTACAAAGGATTGCTTAGTTTATGAATGCGAAATATGAATAATAGAACGATGAACGCTTTTTACTTCGGGCTACATGAATAATGAATATTTTACTTTTGATCTTTTAATTCTTCGATATTTGCTTGAATTTTGGTATTTACTTGCGCACCGATTGCCTGCCGCAACATTTCGCAGCATTTAGATTGACTTAAATCTAATAGATCCATATGGCGCCTTATTACGATTCAAATCGATTCGTAATTCGTTAATATTTAAGATTTTCACGTTTCATATTTTGGTATCTTCATACTCTTGCGAACAATAATTTTTTCTTTTTTTTTTTTATCTTTTCATTGATCAGAACTTGTAATTTCTTCTTTTACTTTGCATACCGATTTCACTATTTGGTGTTTTCAATTATTTGGAACTGATTCAACCGCTGAACTATCGTTGTAAACTTTCAAATTTTTACCCATGCTCAAATCATATTTAACAAGTTATCTAATCTGTTATAAAGTCAAAAACTAGATATTAAACATTATAAGTATAAGTGATAACCTACATTATAGACTTAAATTTACAACTAGAATAAATATAATTGATAGATTAAGGTCCTTTTCATACTTTCCAAGATAATATTAACATTGTATCTCTTGTAAGTCTAAGATTAGAATCATTAATGCACAAAGTTCTACAAATTTCAGATGATGACTTACACTATTATCCAAACTTCCAATATTTAATTTTTTTCTTTCGATTCCAATATTTAATAATTCTTTTTCGAAACGATTTCTCTCTTGGATTCTCTTTTGTGTTCTAGGATCACTATTAAAATATCAAACGTTAGACTAAATTTTCTGTATTTATTGTCTATTTGTGAATTGGCTCCTAGATTAAATAAAATTTGTAGAACTCCATTCGGATATTTGTTAAAAGCTTTCAACAAGTTTCACAACTTTTTAGTTTGCTCAATCATGCAATGATATGATGTTTGAACGTTATTAATACTGTTGTGTTAAATAAAATTAAATTGTTATTTTAAAGAATTACGTGCATTATAAATTCAAGATAAAAAGTTTGCTAGTGTATTAATGATTCTAATAGTATATAATAAACAATTTGTGGAGCACAGCATCAATACATATTTATACGCTTCAATTATTCTATCTATTGCCTCTACATAGTAGTTACTTGCAAGGCTCTTAATACAATTATTGTGTTCCATTTACATAGATTCCATTTGCACATGAATCATGAATGGTGAATTTCTTAAAACAAAAACTTGAGGACCTTAAAATTTGTATGACAAATAAAATGTAGCTTATCCTAATAATTTCATATTATATTTCTGATTTATTTTGCATTTATTGAATTATTCCTATCCTATTCTTATTCGAATTATTTTCTGTATTGATAGAGCATCATTGTTAGCTCGGATCTAATGCCATATAGATTTCACTTAAAAGTACTTGTTTTGCCTGAAGAGATGTTTCATATTTACCATTTCACATTTGCCAGATAAAACGTAGCTATTCATTTACCTTCAAAAACATGTCAGTGCATAATTGATATGAATAAAGTACTACCACAGTTCAAGCTACGCGATTCTCGTTCCACATGCAAAAAATAACATCTATGTAACTAAAGGAAGTAAAATAAAACGTGTATCTCTGGATTTTCGATTTGTAATATTAAATTGTTTAGACGTAATATGCTATTTTTTTACGTAATTATAATTCAACGATCAAATCATATTTCCTTCTACTTATTATTATGAAGAACAACTTCGAATTGATTCTTTTGAAATTTTTCTTAGTCACGTGAAAAAATTTTTGATCTATATGTGTAGGTCAATGTTCTACATGTCTTAAACAATCCCAAAAATGACATTAGATTTATTCTCATTGAAAGTTTGTCATACAAAAGATATTATTTAGCAAATGTGGCACGATGTTCTTTACAACACTAAAGATATTACATAACACTATGTTTTATCAACTTGCCACAACTTTGGATTCTATTACAGATTCTTAACTTACTTTGGCCATTGACTCGAAGACCTTCACAATTAACATTTACAAATTTTTTATTCAGTTATATTTTCCTATTGACAAATCAGTACTTGATGTGGTCAAATTTTTTGATGCTTATGATAAATATAATAAATATATTTATAAAGAATTGTAGTCTCATACCTACAATAACAAATATGCTCAAACATGAAAATAGATCATATATACCAATATTTTATATACCAATATCGTCACGACTTGATAATCTATTTTTCTTCATTTTTTTCTTTAAAAAAAAAAAGTGACTGATTCAAATGATAATTATCTATACACACGATAACAGTCTTGCAAAAGCGATTTATACAATCGTGAATTTATATTATAACGTGACCTTTTTTTATCCTACAAGTGCTAGAGGAAAATTAACCTCTTAAAAAAAAAAAAAGAAAAGAAAGAAAAAATAAGCGTAATATACACGGCAGCTGATTTCTTTAAATTGTTCATTTGTGTGGTCTTTACCGCGAAATGACCATCAATCAAGCTGCATCAATCTAAAACATGATTAACTAAAAGCACCTTTTTTAATAACTACTTGCTAACATGTTAAAAAATCCGTCTAAAACCTAGTCGACAATATATTAAATAGAACATAAAAAAAAATCAAGCTTAATATAAAATTCGTATTTTAGGTATTAGACAGATTTATTTGATTATAAAAGTAAGCAAAAAAATTGACCACTCAAGAAGATTGTCCAACATTTAAGTAGTCTAGAAATATCCACGTGCAAGATATGATGATTATCGTTTTATGGTATCATTTTTATTATTTTATTTATGTGTCTAAGAAAAATTCAAAGAAGAATTATGCAAAGTACATAACCCGCTTTGTGTTTGCATGAACTGTGATAGCTCTTGCCATTGCACCTGGTGTTCTGTCTTCGCTACAGCCAGATTGATGAGATCCTTCCCCGCTGAAATATAAAATATATCAGTATTATAAGTATTAAATACAAAAGTATGAACAAATTATAATTATAAACAAATTAAAAAAAGTATAAACAAATATAAATAAATTAAAATAAAAAATATACATTTACATGTAAAAATATTAAAATTTTTGTATAATATTTCACTAAATTGACCTATTGATAAAAATTTAATTAATTTGTATTTTTTCTTACACATATACAGAAGATTTTATACTAACGTAATTGTCATGTACTAACAAAAATTTTTTAAAATGTTGAATGTTATCTTCTTTCAACTTTTATTTTCAGCCAGGTCTATGTTTATAACAAATAAAGTTTTATTATTCTAGATTTTTACTTTTTTAGTTTATAGATTTCTTCTTATATTGAATACTATAGATTCATTTGATTCTTATTATTAGACTGATATTCAATCCTGCATGTTATAAATTTTTATGAGAACAAATAGCTTTGAAAGAAGTATAGAAGAAAAATTTAAAAACAAATAAAATAAAAGTAAATAAAAGCAAGAATGAATAATAGACATAAATAGAATTCAAAATAAGTGTAATTGATAAACTATTATTAAACTAATAATTTTTTAATATTTAACGTTTAATATTATAAAAAATGACTAGAAATTCTTATTCTAATAAATTTATGTGATCGCTATTCGAGTATAAGTCGCTATCGTGTATAAGTGTAGAAGTGGATATTTCTTCTATTAACAAGTATCTACCTTGAAAAGTAATACCACTGTGAATTTTACTAATTTACATCGAATTTAGCATTAACCACTATTTTTCTCAAAAATGATAATTAATGCATATTTATTTATTATTTTCCGATTTTTTGACCGTATATTAAGTTTCATGATTGTTCACAATGAAGTTTTACGATATATTCAATTTTATAATAGTAATTTCTTATTGCGGTAAATTAATACTTTAATAACAGTTGAAAAAAAGAATTCGTAATCGATATCGAATAATAAAATACGAACCTATCATGCTCCTTTTCTACCAAATGATATCTGGCTCGGAATGCTACGAGATGAGCATAATATGCTGGTGCAGGTATACTAACAGATCTCGTACATCTGACATACGTATGACATAATTGATAAGTTAGAGATTGTAATTCATCACTTTCAAAACGATTATCATCCCATAAAACATGATAATGTGATGGTCGTGATGTGCCCTATAATAAATGTAAATATAATTATTGAAATATGTAAAATGTAACTGAAACAAATAAAGAAAAAATTTTAATTATAAGTTTAAAAATTTACCTGTATGCCTTGGTGACTACATAAATAAAAATCAAATTCAGTTGGATGTGTTATACAAACATCAACTGTTGTGCCGGCTGGTATATTTCCGCTTTTACCACTTTGATCTCTTTTTTCTGAACAAAATAGACGAGTGTGATGTCTCTTCTGGACTACAACAAATGTTATTCCAGGTCTGTATTCAGCTTCAAGTTTAATGCAAGCTTCACGAATGGCAGTTAATTCGTGTTGCAGAACATGAAGGAATTGGCCTTCGGAAACCCCATCGCGATAAAGAATTATCCTAAGTGGTTTATATCCACCAGTACTTTTGTAGAACATAAGAAGAAGTTCCCTTAAAAAGAAATATATCAATTATTAATAACTAAAAGTAATATTAAAATTAACACATTAGTTATATTATAAAATTAATAAATAATATAAATTTATATTATAAAATAAATGTCTTTATACACAAATTATTCGAATATTTAAAAAACTCATTTTGATAATGAATAATTAAATTTATTTTATAAAATATATCAAATTATAAAAAACAGAAATTTTCATTATAGTAAATAAATTTGTATTATTTAAAAATTATAACAATTTACTTACCTCACCATTGAACTAAGTTCCTGAATAATTTCTTGTCTATGTTGTTGAACTCTAACAGTAGCTGCATACCGAGATGGATGAGCATCCATACTAGCAACTACTGCTGCTATGCTAGGTTTTTTGTTATCTCCTGCAGGAGGATGAGTTACATCAGCTCCAAAGAATATAACAGGTTCGTCAAACACTTTCGGTCTAATAGTGGGTACTAAAATACTATTAATACCACCTAATTTTACATTAATTTTTAAACATAAATTCGACAACGTCTGAGGTGACGTTTTATTAACATTTTTCGCTTGTACACACTGTGTTGCCATACCTAATAACGTATCTCCTACTCTTTTAACTTCAGCTGTAAACAGAGTATGCAATTTGTGTATATAAAATACGTTGTCAATATTATATATTATAAAAAAAAACCCATATAACACAAGACATGAAACATATTTCATGTTATAACAATAAAAATATTTTTCTATTTATTTATGTTGTTATATGGGATTAATTTACTGCATAATAGAACGAATTTTTCATTGCAATATACAAGTATAACAAAATATAATATGTATATAATTACCATATACAGGTGTTTTTCCAGGTAATATAACACAAACAAGTTGTAATGATGAAAATGTTGCTTTAAGATATCTAAACATGGGCTCTACTTGATCTGGCCCAGTAGCATATTTACAAAAACATGGTTGCCCAATAATTGGCATTCCAGCATCATTGCTTATTCTTTGTAATTGTGCTATAAAATTACGTATTGCATCATCGCGTACAGTTCTTTGTGGAGCAAAACAAGCAATTGCCCAAACTCTAATTTCCACGCCAGTGAAAAACTGTTTGCCACGCATATCCCAAACACCACCATTAGGTATAGCTTGCTGCTTCGTCTTCAGTAAGGAAAAGAGAAAAATAAATATATTACTAAATATCATGATATATACTGTGAATCATAACAAGTAAACAAAAATGATGCACCAGCATTTCTACATAATCCATGCAATCATCACTTCTGTATGTTCATTTCTTTTTAAAACAGAAGTCATATGTATATTAATCATAAAATAATATAAATAAAAATTTATAAAGATTACAATAGTAAATCAAAATAAATAAGAATCCACTTTACTTCACTACTGCATGGAATGAAACTGATAGCATCAGGCAATATCTAATGATATTGGACTGTGAATGTAATGCAAATTATATTTTTAAAAAATTGAATTTTCTTTGTAGAAAAAAAAATATTTAAAATAATTATTATTTCTGATCTTTTTACAGATTTTATAAAAATAATTTGTTCTCATTACAGTGACAGTCCATATATCAAAATCAACCAGGTCTAGAACCCATGCATTCATTTGGCAACTTTTCATTTTATTATCAATTTTTTAATATTTTTAAAATAGAAAAGACCAAACGTATTATTATCTTAAGAAAGATCTCATTCCATTATGTGAAATCATATTTATTAAGATTTTTGCCTTAAAAGAAAAAATGTATAAATATTAGAAAGAAATTTTTAAGCTAGTTTAAAATAAAGATTTTAAGCTAAATCATGATTGCAAGACTATTGTTAATGTATCTTCAAGTAAAAAAAAAAAATAGATTATAACTTTATATTCTACAGCATTGCAAACGATATATTCCTACCAAAAATAATACAACAGCCTCTGCAAATGTGTGATTTAGCTAGACCTGACTGATTAAGTTGGAAGTTTCTCACCTGTCCACTGAGGGAACTTACGCGCCCTCCGTACTGTAGCTTGGGTGGAGGCAAAACACGACCCCTAACTTCCATCATATTGTTTGATATCGTTAGACCAAACTCTTGAACATATGAATCATTATTAAAATCAGCTCTTCTAACTAAGTTATTTATTTCTCGTTCACGGTCTGGAGCAGAGCGAGCTGTAGCTTTTATCATAGTAGAAGTCTGCATATCAGTCAATTTTTTGATACAACGTTGTCCAGCGACAATATTACAGACCTAATAATACATACATGATATTTCAAAATTATTAAAAAATTCGAAATATGTAAATTTCTTGTACGAAAGTACTGATTCAATAAATTCTTTAAAAATTAGAACTATCTATTTCCTTTATATTTTCAATTATTTATGTTATTTTTATGTTATTAACTAATAAAAGGGAGCTAAAAATAACTTTACCATTGCTACAAGAAATTTGCATGTTTTAATTTATGTTATAGTTGTAAAATATTTAATAAATTATATATACTTTGCAAATATTTAGTATTGATTGAACAAAATACTAGATAAAAATAAAAGAAAAATACTAAAATCAACAAACCTCAAGTGGCAAATATGTATGTTTATGTTCTTGTCCAACTTGAAGACATGGAAGATATGGGTGACGCAGTTTCATTTTATATTTGTCTAAGAAATATTTTGCGACCGTGCACTCGACCGTTTGTCCATTTTCTAGTTGTAATGGGAATCTAAAATTTTCATAAATGTTATATATTGTAAATGTCTAAAATAACATTACGATTGTTCTTGCATACTTACGATTGCATTTGAGCAGGTTTACGCGTAACATTACACACTCTGTATTTTCGTCTCATCGTCCCACAGTGCGTGATTTCAATTTTAAGTCCTTTAATTTCTTTGGTAAATTTAACTCGTTGAGAATCTGTTAAAGGTCTCTTTTGATCACCTATGTCCCGAATGTCTAATACTTCACACATAAATTCTATGACAGGTTGTGCTTTATAAAATGCAGTTGCAGAAACTATAACATAAACATACACATAAATATATATAAATAATGAATATACATTTAAATAATACATTTATTTTATATTAATTTATATATTTACCATCAATATTTAGCATCATTTTCCATTGAGATGGCCTAACAGATTGATGAAAGCCAAACCAAACTTCTCTGCCACCACCTAATGGATGATAATATCCATCTGGTGTACTAAAGAATGATCTACCTACTGGAGTATATGTCATAGATGGTAAATGCCTCATTACAACATCTAAAGCAAGTATAGCATCATATGGAATTTGTCTAGTACGTCCTTCTAAAGCTTCTTCTAAAGCAAACAATGAAACTTGAGCCACCCATTTTATTACCACTCTGAAAACTCTATCTTTACCCTCACCAGGCAGTGTTACCTAAAAATACATAAGTAGAAAATAAAATTTAAAAGGAAAAAAGAAAAAGACAGTGAGATCCCATACAACACAATCAAAAAATTGTTTTACTTTCGTTGTTACTTTCCAAATGTGATTTCAAATGCAGACAAATGCATACAAATAAATTTAGATTTAATTTTAAACAATTCTAATGGGAAGTTCTGCTTAATTTTTTATTTAATGATATTACTTCCTGTTATATCAAAAAAGTAATTTTTTTATTGAATTTAAAAATTTTGCGTTTTAGGCTCATATAACATCAGTGTTCAGACACATCTTTCATGTCATAGGAAATTTTATTATAAATATATTTTATTACTTATTATACTTGCCTCTAATTCTATTTTATCAGTACCAATAGGCAAGGGGTCCCTTGTATATAAATTATTTCTGCCGTCGAATACAGGCTTAAGAGTTCCAAATATTTTACTATATGCATGAACCATTGTTTCAATTATTTCTCTATTAACTTTACGAGGACATTTATCAGGTTGAATATTAATATCATAATGGTGCACATAACCACGTGGCATTGTTATTTGGAAGTGATTAGCTCTTAAGACAATTGGCCTGCCTTCACGTCCTATATTTGGTCTCCGAGGACATGAAAACACTGTAATTATATGAATTTTAAATTATTATTATTTCAAAATATAACATTTGCTTTTTTAAAATCCAGTCAAATTTAAATATGATAGCATTATATTATTATATATCACATTTTTTATTATTTAAAAATGAAAATGGAAAATATAGCAATTTTTATGACTGAATTATATATGAATATGAATTGTATTATTATAATATATAATATATATGATTTAAATACATACGAGCTACTTTCCCTAGCTATTAAAGATATAAATATTTTTCATATATATTCATATATTCATTTGACTGAGAGAAACTAGTATATTTGAATTTCTTTTTAAATTATTATTTATATAAATTTCAATACATGTATACTCATTTTAAATTAAATTATACATTTATTTTAATTTTACAATATATGGAAATTAGCAATAAAAACAAAATGCATATATTGTTAATTAATTAAAATTATTATAAAATAGTCTAATGTAAATAGCTTTTGATAAAATAATGTATGAGAAATCATATAAATATTGGTATGTGTACTATCATATGAATATCATATTTTTTTCTTAATGTATGTAACTTACTTGGCAGTTCAGGAGGTTGAGGAGGAGTGTGTGTTTGTTGTGTGGAAACAAGTCCTAAAGAACTAGGAGCTACAACACTGCTTCCAGTTGCTCCAGCTGCTCCAACAGAAGAACTTGTTGTGGGTCCAGGTGGGGGAGCTGAAATAAAATAGATTATTATAAATTATAAATTAATATAGTATAAATATAGTATATATAATATAATATAAAAGTAGTAATTAACTATATATATTTTAATAAATGGAAATTTTAATAGCAGTATCTGTTATAACTAAATTCCTGAATTTTTATTAAATCTTAAGTTAATTAAAATTTCACTTGATTAATATCATGTTTATATTTGCAATATATTTCAATTTAATATTTTATATTTAATGAAAGAGAGAAGGCACTAATATTAAGCTGTATCAACTAATGGATCAAAAAGTATCTTATTTAAAAGACTCAAATATAAAATATCCAAAAATTAAAATATATTCATCTGATTAGCCTCCATAATTTCATTTCAAACATTTTTTTAAATCACTAGGAAACAAGTTATTTTAGATGACATTCTTATGGACTCATTCTATATATGTACATGTTTTTTCTTTTATACAATAATCACAAGTAAATAGTAATTACAAGCAATATTCTGCATATCGCAGGGACAAACATAATACATATATATATATATATGGAATAGATTTGTAATTTACTTAAGACTTAATAAGAATTTACTTTATGATTATTTATTATTTTATAATTTTTCAACATCAATACAACATTATCATTTTCTAATTCAATATGATTTGCTGAATCTTTCCTTGTTACATTAAATATCCATAGTGTTTAATCACGCAAGTTATGTTATAAATTAAAGATGTAATATAATATTAAACAAGCAAAAAATACTAAAAAAAGTTACAGTTTTGTACACGTTTTATTTACGAATTTTTTTACAAGTTCATAAAATATACTATCTAAAATATACATAGTAATGGTGGATATTTAAAAGTGTATGTACGTCAATATAAAAAATTGAAAGATCTTTATTTTATATTGGAATTATTGTACTTAAAATAATACACACCACATATCATAAATAATAAAAAAATCATCGGTATTAGACACATATACGTATGTACTTGTATGTTATCCGTGCATTGACGGATCAAAGTGACGACACATTGTGCCTGTTGAACGAGGTTCACTCGAGGTCATATTTTAAATTTTCCTCGATTTCTTAAACCTTAATTCATTGCTGTGAGTGATTTTGATTAGCATACGCGTGTGTCAAATGAATTCTCGTCAACTTAGGGTAATCAAACGGGAACAAAGGATCAGATCTAGTCAAACAATGAAATCCTGTTCTTGCTTAGAAATACAGAAAAGGCTATTTTTGAAATATTTTGAGATATTATAAAGAAAAATAAACGTGTTGCAATACTCACGCTGCCCTACAGGATACATTTTGGCAGCTGACGGTGAAAAAGACCAGATAACCACTAATAAATAAGTAAAAAATTCAACACAAAACCCACTGACCACACAACACACTTCTCCACAATACACACTGCGAACGAGACTGCCTCCTGCAATGGCTGCCACCAACTTGATTCCGATTGATCTTATCTTGACCAATCAGCACGTGAATAATAAAACAACAGTTAATAGCTCTCGGCGTTGTCATTCTTTTCTAAATTATTTTAATTTTTCATGTCCGAATAGAAACACGTTAATGAATATTCCAAAAATATATATACACAGTGTGTAAGAAATTTATATAGCATCAATAATACGTAGAGAATGTTAGTAATATTTCATATACTACTTCAGTGAGGCAAAACTGTTAATAAAAATAATATTTGAAATAACATAAAGTAATATAAAGTTTGTTTTCTACGTTTTGACTTATTTTTCTTCACGTTTATCTTCTTATAATTTAATGATAAATAAATTTTGGTTATATTGGTTGCACTGCGATCAAAACTATTTCCCCTAGAATGTAACTATCGGTACATACATACTGCATGCGATTGCGTGCTCGATTTCTAAAATGTCGATTCCGTTCAACGGGACTCGTACACGGTCAGCTGGATTAATAAGCGCAATTGCAAAGCACTTGAGATATTTAACCTTAAAACCAGTTAAATCAATCGACATAAAGTTTGATCCGTTTCATAGTAAGGCCTTGGAAGCAAGGTTAGTTCTACCAATTTTCATTTCTTGTATATATTTTACTAGAATTTGTGTAACATTATCATAATGTGTAACATTCCTTTGAATTTGCAATAAATGGCATATAAATGTAGACATAAATTCTTTTATTCGTAAAATGTTAATTTTTATTGATACATTTTAAGCCAAATACTATTTTTATAATATAATTTGTTAGTACATGGCACTTGATTCCTATATTTTACTTAGAATGAAACAACAAAAGTTTTGAAAATAATAATAATAACAATATTTTTTTCGAGATTAAAAATATTGTCTAAATAACGATTATATTTCGTTTCTGCGTCTAAGAGGTTGGGTTGGTTTAATGACGTCAATATTGTGCGCATGTGCAATACGAAGTTTCTAGTAACTAGCAGACGACGTTAGTATTTTTAGAAAACTTTCAATGATTAATGTTGCTACAGTAATAAATGTAGTAAAAGCGTGATATGAAAATTAAGTAACCTGCAAAAGACTGAAATTGAATGTTGTGATATACGTGTGACACAATTTCTTATTGTAAATGAAAAAGTTAGTTGATCTCCATATCTCGGCGATTGTATAGGGTGTTCCAGCTATTATAAAAACTATTAAAGGTGACGATGAAATTTATTATTATATCATTATTAATTTTTATACTTTTTTATGACGTTGATAATTGAATTTTTAAAAAAGCAAATTTTCTTTATACTAAAATATATATATATATAATAAATATTTGTATTTTTCATTTAATTCTGACATTTATCTAAAAAATTAATTAATTTATAATTGACTTACAATCATTTTTTTGCTTTATGATCTTTTTGATAACTAAATATTTTTGATATATAGTTTTTAATAATTAACTGCGTTTTAATTAAGATTCATCATTTGTCACTTTAATCTATTTAAAACTGAATCTTTATGATCTTTAATCCATTTAAAACTGAATCTAAATGATATCCAAGAATACATTTGAAGGGGCTGTTTCTACTAGTTCACGATATTTTCATTTTTAAATTCGTATATTAATAGTTAAAACAATTTAGTTATCTTTAATCTTGCCTTACTGTTTTAGAGAAAACAGTTTTATAATAAATATTTTAATTAAAATGAAAGATCTATATTTTGTTTAATTATTCACTTTAAAATCTTTTGTACAAAATATTTAAGATTAAATGTTATATTTTTAAAGAAAGTTCTAGAAAATTCTAGAACCTGAATTTATGTTATATTCCTGTAATTTCTTTAAAAATGTTATAAAAAATCTTTATAAAGTGTGTCTATGTAATTTATACCATCTAAACTTGTCATAAAACATGTTTTTTATTTAAAAAAAAATATCTTTTTTAATTACAAAAATAAAAACTTACCACTACATTGTCCACATCCATATGCTTTACCAAGCATGGAAACAGCCGTAGTTATGCGAAGACTACTTAAATCTGGCATTTGAAGTGGTAATTGTTGTTTCATTTGTGCCATTTTTCCTGAAAATGTTACAAACAAGTAAAGTAAAACATCATATAACAATCATTGATTAAAATAATAATTGATAAGAAAAAACCATTATACAATTGCAATTATAAATGTAAGGCTAAATTTAAAATAATTTAATAATCTATCATTATTAAATTATTATCTAATAATACAGATTATAATAAACATGTGTTATATTTACAGAAACTTTTTATTTCAAATTACAACTCCAAAGATTATTGCAACAAATCCACGTTGCAATGTAAAACCACACATTGTCTCTGATTTATCTGAACCCACTATTACATTTAATTTATGTGAGTATTATAATATTCTTTCATTTAAATATACTTAATTAATTACTTAGTTTATACTGTTCTATCTTTAATATAAAGATGTGACTTTAAAAGTTCTTAGCTTTATCTGGAACTAAAATATATTCATGTGATATTTTGAAAATGAATATAAATATACTACTAATGCTAAATTACAATAAGTACAATAGTTAAAACTGCAATTTCAAAAAGCTTACTTAAAATATGTTTTATATCCTATTCTTGCATTTGTATCTTTTAGTATCCGGTGATAAAATAGTATGCAAAGCTGAAAATTTGACAACTTTAAATATTTTGGAACTTTACAACAAACATATAACACCTTTGTCACCACGTGACTCTGAAGCTGAACCTGAAGACGAAAAGAAAAAAAGGAAAAAGAAGAGGCCATTTAAAATTAAACCAGGAAATAAACGTAGAGGACTATTCTTATAAATTTATTGGCAATTTGATTATGAGACAAGATCAAAGAAAATATTGAATATAAATGCAAGCATAAGTTAAAAAATAAATTCTTTAGATATACATGTCAGAATCAATTTTATCATTTATTTAAAACAGCCCAATTTTCATCTTTCACTTTGTTTTTGAAACAACACAGAAAATTAAACCTACATTGTCAATTCATAAAGAAATCTTAGTCACAAAAATTACACTTTGATTCTTTTTTTAGCATCTATCTATAAAATAAGAAAGGAGAATCAAGTTATAAAAATCTTATATCATTTCTTTTTAATATTGTATAAATTTTTTTCAATTGCACATATAAAAGTTTATAAATAATTCTTTTTTCTAACAAAAAATTTCTTGGCTTCATTTTTTTGTTTGTTAATCTACTTTTAAAAAAGAGATTTAAATTTTACAATAAAAAAAAAGTAATTTACTTCTAAAATGGCGAGTCATACTACAAACAGTAAAAATTATAATATGAAACTTATTGATACTCTTTATAATCAAGTTCCAGCTTTTACTGATGTATTTGATGAAGAAACATGGTACATTTTCGTTGCCTGCTTTGTAGCAGGCACATTTTTAGTTGCATTTATCCTTTCTAGATTTATTACACTGAAACCTGTAGAATAAATTTACAAAAATATTGTTTTAAAATTTGTAATTTGTATTCATATAGAGAAGGCATCAAATACATTTGACAAATTTGATTAACATTATATTGTAATAATAAAATTTTCTATATGTTCCATATGATATGTAAATGCAAAACACTTATTATAATCAAATATTATATTATACTATTATATACAATATTATATTGAAGTATATTCAATTATTTGAAATATTTATTTAGTAGTTATATTATTTCCTATTGTGAAGTGTTGATTAATTAGTTTTATATACTCTTTTCTGCTTTGAACATGCAATCTATCAAATTGACATTTATATTATATAGTTTTCATAAATGTATTTTGATGATTTTAGTGAACGTTAAATAATTTGTATCTTTAATGTAATAAAAGTTATCTAATAAAATTAACAAAATATCATTGTAGTATTTAATACAGATATTTTATGTTATTAGTTTTATTTTGTAATTGCACATAATCAATATATGATCAAATTCAAAAACGCAACACTTTAATAATCCCATTAATTATAGTTATATCATAAATACAATTTAAAGAGATATACATTAATATTTATTTCTATTTATTAATATATATTTAATTGATTTAAATACATATTTATATTCAATATATGTTTAATTCATTTATTGTTTGAAGATTCTTTTACAACCACAAATATTGTGTTTATATAAAATATATTATCGCAAAATCACTATATATCTTAATCGAAATTTCAATATATACATATTAAACTTTTCATGATATGCACGCCTATTCTACGTTATTTATCATGTATGTCAAGAGAATCATTAAATTAAAATAGCCAATAAATTGAATGTTTTTCCAATTTGTAAGTTCTTAATTAAATCTTATGTTTTTTAAAAAACAGATGAACAGTAAAATTTCTATTTGGTAACTAGTTATCATTTATTAAAATCATTTATATTTTTGTTTAACAATTTTTATTTATTTTATGATATTAAGATCAGCTTTAATTTTCAGATAAATTACTCAAAATAAAAGTGTACAAAATTTTTATTTATTCATTCCTGAAATCGGGATCTTATTTATTTTCATGAATATTCGTAGTTATAAAAGTATTAATTCGACGCACGCATATATTTAAACATGTATGCAATTAAAGATATTATTACCATTATACAATTTGAAAACTCACCTGTTTTTATAGAAGTAGTATTCGATTTATGATATGCAGAATAGACGCACACTGTTACAGAACTCACACGAACATTGTTTTTTTTTTCTCTTTTGTTTATACAAACTTCACGACCGTGTCTATACACTAACTATGTAATAGTTTTGTATGTAACACTATGTAAGATGCATCTTCCGTGATGATAACAATTTGTCATATGTGACAATAATTATCTACATGCAGGTATAGAAGTCACACGAAATTTATTATTTTTTCTTTTGTATTGTTTTCGACGAACATGTATTTAAGATTCACATCTACAAAAAGATTTCAACAATTAACAGGGTTATAAGTTCAAGTAGAACTAAAGCATTAGCGTTTGTATGCATGCAGCTAATAATATATTTATGAAAGAAATTGTCCGACTTGATAGTGCAATATCATTAATTTTTATTTCGTTCGACTACAGTATTTTAGAAGATAACTCGTTATTTAATGTGAAACCTTTTTACCAAATTCTGCGCATATTGATTTAAGAAGCAACAGATTCATATTAACCGCAAATATACGAGTATCAAATATGTCTCTTCAATCTCTATAATAATTTATTATTTATCGTTTGAGCGTGGATTTTATATAAAATATAACGAGAATATAAATGTATAGTATGTAAACAAACAGCATTTCATATTAATACGCAATCAACGCATAAATAAGCGACTATCTTTATAAAAACACTTTCATAAATAAAATAGTTTAAAACCTCGGTTTGTATTGTTCCGATTTTCCTATCTAAAGCGTGGAAAGGGAGAAAAAGTCTCGCAATATCGTGTCGGATAATTCCTGCGTAATTCGGCAATGAAATTCCGTTTTCCCTTCTTTTGTAAAATTTAAACAAATCGTTCTTTCTTAAATTCGCTTGAAAGTAAGAATCATCTAGCCTTCACATATGTTTACACGTACAGTGCAGTTCACGATCGCATATACACAACATGTTGATACAGTTATATAGCATAGTTTGTTTTCACTGTTGATTCTTAAACAAAAGAAGAGAATCAGGTCGTCAAACCGTACAATACAGAAATATTACAAGAGAAAATTAATGGGCATAAATTCCATTCGGGACGAGTAGAGTTTCCTTAAAATACATGTCTCACTTAAACGTAGTACAATATCTATTTAATTATGATTTCACGGTTGTCTAACCTTAACTGTTTATTTCCCTCAATTCCCGATATATACGTGCAAGATATTTGGTGTGGCTTGTCGCTTGTTTAATGTATCTCCTCTTTTTTTTTTTAACGAACGATAGTATTTCACACCGGGTGCTACAGCCACGGCGAAATTTCCAATCACGGAAAAGAAACTGGGGAGAACGAAACGATGTCCATTAGCATGAAGCGCGACGAATATTTCACCGACACCGATACTGCCAAACTCCTCGAGAGAGAGATTTTACAGAATGGCCACCGTCGCTTTCACTCGCGTCGCGCGATCCTACCAAACACGATTTCAGTAGAAGCGGGACGAAGCCGCCAAAAACGATCACCAAGTGTCAAGGTTGCCATTGTACACGAACATGCCGAATATACCGACTGGTGTTAGTATGTCGAATGCACTCGCATACACTCTACACTCTCCTCGTCTCTGTTATGCCAGCAGAGACCAAGCAAAACAATAGTATTTTGTCGCGATGCTCGCACTTTATTTTTCAATGACACCGTTGCCGATGGACGGCAACCTTCGGCCGCGGTGTATCTCGACGCGCCTTTGGATTTCACGCGCAACGAGCGCCTTAAGTTTTTACAGAAATTCACCGGGTTACTTTTGGCGACACTCACGAAAGCAAGTAATCAACATCCGCGAGAAGGACCCCACTACTTGTTCGATTCACCAGTTATTGCGAATGCTCATGTGGTCAGGATTGTAACAAGTAAATAGAATGAGGTATCATTGTCTCATGGACTTGTTTACAAACAATGATGCACGCACGATGGCATTTAAATTTATTTAACTGCTATGTGCATTTAAACGCGTATACAATTCATACGCGTGCAACAGTTCATACAATAGGAAATTTAACATCAAATACTTCTTATTTTTAATTTAATGTGGCACGCCGCATAAATACGTGTTTTTGAAAATAATGAGCGATTGCATGTTTTTTTTGGAAAACGTATAACTCTTCCCAGGAAAAATAATAAAAGATCTTTGATTTTTGTGTAAATTAAATGTTTGAAAAATTGTCAATGATATATTTGACTTGATGTCGCCGAAACGTAATTTTACTTTAACTTAATTTTATTAAGAAATTGTGCATTAAAAATTACGTAATTCAGATAGTTTTACAATATTTTTACAATTGGAAATACTTGTGGCTTTCTATTTTTCAAGTTGTAACTATTTTTAAATAAAATGTAAAAGAAGTGCTTTCAAATATGATTTCTTGCTTTGAGCCGACCCTGGATGATGTCATAATCGGCAGACCAATGAGAAACTTTGCGAATTAACCATACAAATGTCTAGCAACACAGGTTATATATAGGCTGTAACAATTTTTTAAATATAAGGAACAAATCTGTTAATACATGATAGCAATAAAATATGACTGTATTAAATACTTAAAGAAGTAGAAACATTGAATTTACATAACAATCATTTCTTTATGCAAGTTGCGCAATTTTACATAGAACATGATAAAACGGCTATGTTTAATTTTCTATATCGATTATCGGTGTTGGCCAATAACATGTTTGTGCGTCGTAAATAGCGTCCTTCTATTGGTCAATTATATTCCCGCGTTATACTATCGAAGAAATTGAAAATTATACGTACACAAGTTAAAATTTCCTCTTTTTAAATTTGTTTCTCGAGATATTCGTTATAAGTTACTTAATTGAGAAACAATATACATTCAATTAATCATAAATAAAGAATTTAAATTTCCTAAAACAATTTAAATGAAAATTTGAATTTGTAGGATATAAATTATTATATAAGTTTTGTAAATTAATCTTATCTCTTTTTAATCTTCATATAAATAATATTATCTCAAATATTACACACTTAGAAAGTATAAAAGTTAAAAATTACACCTAGAAACATTAATATAACTATATGTATTAATAATATCAGGTAAATACAACTGAGGAACTTAATTCTAGGATAATTTTTTTAGTAATTTTGATTTCTTTATTGATATTTTATTATACAAATTTTATTGAAATTAATATTTCCAAAACTTGATAATTTACAATAAAAAGGATATGATGTAAACTATCAATCAAATATCATTATATCATAACAAAGTATATTATTTTTTAAGGAATTATTTATTACACATAAGCGATTATAATGTAATACATATTGTGTATCTTTTAAATGAAAATATTGTTAAATTCTATTTTTAATCTAAATCCAATCCTTCATCATCATCACCTTTCTTATCAGGACTAGATGTTGGTGGTGCTTGTTTAGTACTTTTGTCCTCCTGTCCTTGCTGTGTTTGCTCTTGGCCACTCTTAGCTTCAGACTCGAGAGCAGTGACGAATTCTTCAATGTTTCCACTGGTTGCAGCATTGACAGCATCTGGGCCCAAGCCAAACTGACGGATGACAGGTCCCGCCTGGCCTGACTGCAAAGCAGACCAGAACATTGATAGCGCCTGGGAGAACTGGGGAGACACTAGCGTGGTACACAGGTGATCCCCTGGTGGTAAGTGCGGGCTCATTGCACGCTCCAAGCTTTCCGTTGCAGAAATCGCCGCCGGGATGGCATTGGTCAGCTCAGTTGCTACTCCCCTCTGCCGGACAATAAGCTGTGCTGTAGGTGGCCGAAAGCAACAAATAATCCCAGAGAAACTTCCCCAACTGCTCAGCAGAGCGAGAGTCTCCGACAGCCAGGAAAAGTTCATGTGGAAAAGAATATTAAATAAAGAAACAACCATGTCTCTGCCTTTGATTTTATAGCAATAGTTTTGTCACTTTATACTGCGTTTCTATTACTGGCGATACCACTGATTCTATGAAATAACAAAAATTTATACATTACACAGCTAAAATTTAACTCATAACATTTAATATATATTACTCGTTTGTTTATCATATTGTATCTTTTGTCCAGTTTGTGATAATTAAAAATAATTGAAAAATTAATAATGATATTAAGTAAATCAAAGCGTACAAATGATAAGACAAAAACATTAAAACAGATAAAAGCTGTGTCAGCAAGTTTAATAACACATATAGTTTAAAAAATTATTTTTCATTTGAATTAGATTCATATTAGTTTCAACAAAGATAGATATAATATGTAAATATAAATTATATATTATATACCATTTTTTAAGATTTATAAATGTTATTAATATCAACAATTTAATCAGTACACTAAAAACTTCAGTCATAATTCAAAACAGAAAACTTACTTATTAAAAAAGTAAATATGGATTGTATAAATTAAAAGTTACAATATTTGACACATGTGTTAGTTATTGTTATAAGAGGAAATAAAAATTAATATACGTATAATAATTTATATAAAATGTTCATCAATACCTGGTCTTGAAATTTAATAATTTATTACCAATAAAATTTATATTAAATCAATCTTGTGATAGAAAACAGTGACATATGAAAGAATACTTTGAAGAGCTGCTTATAAAGGCAATAATTTCAAGTTATTAAACAATGAAATATCATTTCAAACACGTTATCAAGAATATCATTCTGTTCCTGATAATGATAACTGCTGAAAGAAAAGATATAATTAATAAATAAGGCAGATAATATATAATGAAGTATTATGTAATAATTGTTATCATTGAACAGAATGTAATGTTAATATAAAATATGTAATTATATTCTATGAATTATGTGATATATAGCATTGATATGTACAAGCACACGATCGACGCTTAATCTATATCTATATAAATTAAAATAATAAAACAAAAATCAAATATAAAATTTAGATCGTACTTAGTGTTTTATATTAAAAAAAAAAAATAGATTTTTTATATGATTAAAATTCGTTACAATAGAATGAATAAATGCAAAAAATGATGTGAATAGACGTATTTTTAATATGTTATTTAACGAGTTATACATAATATGTTTTGTATTATTGCATCATAAAATAAATTTTATTTTAAGATATGTGTTAAAACTAAAAATAAATATTTTATTTATTTGGTTTTACTAAATATCTTATCAAAGTATGTTCATTATTAGCATTTTTCTTCAAATGAAACATAAACAAATATTATTTTATATAGTTTATATTATTTTGTTAGTGTTCATATTATTTTTCCTTTTATTTTATTATTTTTTATATTTCTCTCTCTCTCTCTCCTATTTGTTACAATTGGGATTATAGTACTTTAATTTTTATTAAAACAATGAGTATAAAAAACATATATAGACAGAAACAGAATGGAATTTATGCAAATTATGTAGCTATATTATACAATATCGATAATGCATTTATAATAACATTGCGAAAATAATTTTTAAATTTTATTTAAAAATAAGAATCTTGAAATATTTACACTCTTTACAGAACAGGTACTAAAATCTTAGCTTAATTTTTATATTCTAACTAATTAACAATTTAAGAACATTTAGAAAAACAAGATTATTTTATAAATACTTTTTCATAATATTTTGATCATAGAAAATCAAATTTTAATGCATGTAAAATAAATACTTTTATATTACATATTGATAGACATACTGAATATAAAGATAGTATTTCAAGTAAATTGATGATTATGTTTTTTCAAAAGTAAACAATTAAAGATAACTTGAATATTTAAAATATAAGAAATTTAATCATTATAAATATATAACTAAGTAGAAAAAATGTATATATAAATGAAAAAGTTAATAATGATATAAAATAAATTGTAAAAATTCATTTGTTGTTTCCTGTCCCAAACCTATATATATATATATAAAATAATCTTATAAATAAGACATAGAATATATACAAAAAGACGTCTTCTTTATAAGATTATTTTAAAGTTTGAAATGATTTCAATGATTGTTAACCTTGATTTAATTTAATAAAAGTACTACAAAAAAATAAAAATATACAATACATTCTAGATGAAATATTAGTGAATAACTACTTAATTTTTATTTCTAGGTATATATGGATTATTGTTAGCATCTAAATATTAAATAAAGTTATTTATGTTAATGTTTTGAGGCAGTTTTATGGTAACAATATCATATTAGCTGTAAACCTAGGAAAAATAAAATATATTAAATAAAGCTGTATATGTGAACAAAAGATATTACCTGAACAGATTCTGTTCCTGTAGATGTTGGAATTTCCGATAAAAAGTTTTGCAGATCACTAAGTTGGATTTTGTTATTTGTACTTGTTGTCGTTGTCGTCGTCGTCGTCGTCGTTGTTGTTGCTGTTGTTGTTGATCCAGGTGTTGATGTACCCGATGTCCGCGATGTTGATTTATTATCACCTAAGCAAAAATTTATATAAATCATTTATACAATAAACTATAAAATGTTATATGATAAACTATATAAAATCATATAATAAACTATATAACAATGTATCATTACCATTAGTTTTAGAAGAATCATTAGCAGATGCTGCTGAAGAGACTATTTGCGTAGCAGATCTTGAGGTATTTGTAGTAACTCGAGTTGATGCAGTTGTTGTAGATGCTCTAGTACTTTGCACACCTTGGGGTCTATTCATTGTACCCAATAAACTACCTAAACCAATTTGGCCTACACCACCAAACAATTGCATTAGTTGTTGTTGTGACATATTGTTTAATAAATTTTGAAGATCCCCCTCTGGATTAGTGCTGCTACTTCTTTGTGATCCAGGAGTTGGTGGGTTATTAAGAACTTCATTAATTTTTCTACAATATTCTTCATCTTTGTCTGTTTTAAGATCCTGCAGATAAATGAATCAACATTAATTAATTATTAAAATCTTATCAATTTTTACAGAATCAATATATTTATCTTTTCCCAAACTATGTAAAATACACATGTATTTATTTCAGATAATATACCTTGAAATTATATTACTTCATAATATTTTTTATGATATTAATTTTGTAATTTTGGAACTTTCTCGCATCTTTTACAAAGCCTTTTGTAATATAATTTGTAAAAAGCTATAAACAGATGTCTGAAATCTAACAATTAATATTAAAAGCATTAATCTTACCTGAAGCCAAACAAAGAATTTTTTGTTTGATGATTTGAATCGTAACAGATATACTCTTCCAGTTTTACATTGAGGAACATGTTTAAATTCACAATCATCAGGAAAAATAATCAAATCCTATAAAAAAAAAGAGATAAAGTACGTTTACACACGGTCACAGAGAAATTCCAAGAAAGCTTGAAAGAAGTATAGCAATTTCAAAATATTTTCAAATTATGATGAATTTTAAAGACAATAAAAAAATTAAAATATATTTTTACATCTTCGACATATCCTGATACACGATCTTTCCAACAGAAATGCATCAATGAATCGTCGGATTGGTAAACGTAAAGCTGGCCCTTTCGAATATCTGGATAAACCATCTTTCCCTTCATCGTCATTTTCCCCGCTTTAAATTCGACCAAATTCTTCGGGGTTCCGCGTGAGGCATTATTTCCGAAAAGTGCTCCACCTGACATACTTGATATTTCAAACTCCTTTTTGTTTTGATAAATATATTAAAACACTACACGCGGTTAATTTACGTTTCACGGCGCGCTGATGACAGTGCACTTTAAAATGGCGTGTCAGAAGATTGCCAATCTTACATAGAATTCTTAAATATGTGCGCCACGTAGTGACAAGATCGATAAGTATTCTTTGTGCACAGATTTAGATTTTATCGATAGAGTATAAACAATCATAGATTATTTATATATGTATCTCTGTGTTTATGTCATCTGTACCAAGAGACTACAGATAAGATTTAATATAGATACCTAATAATAAAATAGTTATGTTACGGATCAATAGCTACAGATCAAGTGCGATCTTTAGGTTAAGCGTATAGCATGCGGAACACATTTAAGATGGGTGCCATTTCTTGGCCCAAGCTAGAGATTCCTAATAAACCGAGCGTCTGAGGTTAGGGGTCGCCGGCATCAGCCCTATTGATGAATAGTGGTGACTCCGAAACGAAATACATTCCATCTTTATAACCTTATATTGTACATAAAATCATCCGCTATAGAAATTTCACCTACTGACGAATTGCAAATTGTATATTATCAGTTATATATAGCTGTATCTATGTACAAAAATGAAAAGTCCAATGCAAGAGCAAAGGAAGCAGGTCCTTCTCTCAGTGACCACTAGGTTTTGTTTGTTCTGCGTGACATTCTCAGTCAATAGGTATTAAGAATGGATTGGAAATAACCAACCTGACCCACATTCTTTTCGCGGAACTTCTCATCTCTGCACGACACGTGTTAATGCAAGTATAAGTCATCGTTTCGAATCTTGAGATTATTGAGTTATTACAGTTGAATTCGGTAAGAATATATTTAATTTTATACAAAATATAAAAATAATGATATATCAAATTTTACAATTTGTTTTGCTTTGGGGATTACGAAGATTAAGAAATAATTGTAATTATAGAAGATGAGAAACTAATTTTTTTTTATAGAATCATTTATGGTTTACTTGATTGCTATTTTATGTCTAAACGAGTTCAAACATGTTTCACTGCGTTTGTGGTATTAATTAAATTTTAATGTAAATTATTACTACGTTTAATTTTAAAAATTAGTCTTTTCTTACATGCTTTTTAATTTTTTTTGCTATTAGAGTATAGTTTCATAAATTTTTTGTATAAAAGATTACCACAACAATGTTTTCTTCTTGAGAGTTCAAGTGTTTTTTTTTCAAAAATGTGAATAATTACATTTTTTGAAGTATAATTTATATGTTTTAATAGATGTTAACCATATTCTAAGTAATTTTAAATTTGGAATCGAGAAGAGCTTATCTTTTTTATAAATCTTTTTTTTTTTAATGCATACATAATCTCAAAGTGTCTGTTAATATTTTTGAAGGATGGACTAATTGTATTTTTCTTGATTTATATCAATATCATTTTTGCCTGTAATCACTAGCATAATTGATTAATATCCAATGTTATTTTAATTAGCATTAAAAGGATCGGATATTTTAATAATAATACTTCATTGGAAAAAGAATATATTTTAGTCAGGGATATTACATACCATAGATGCAGTATCCTAACATCGATTGAAATTAACATCAGAGGGCTATACAGAATTAATTTGTAAATTAACTAAAAAAGGACATATTTCATCCGAAATTGGTAATTTTTTTTTTATTTGATATAACTAATTTATTGAAAATTTTAAAAATAATATTTGCATATTGTATATTGTATATTATATTTATATATTATATTTAATACATTGTATATTATATTTGTTACAAAATATAGCTTTATTCCTCGTATGTTTTGTTTATAAAAATTTATTCAGAATCTGTTTCAAGCAAACTGATTAAGATTCAATGCTTTATCATTGTTTATCACATGAACAGTTTGCAATATTAAAAACATGGTGATGTTTGAGGTGGTATGGCATTTTGTCATATTATTATAGGTACTCGCCAACATTTACAAGTTAATATATGCTATATTTTCATTACATTTATTTATTTAATATATTTATTTAGGCAGATGATGAAATCTAGATGTGATACTTTGATATTCCCATGGAATGACATAGGTGCATTACCACATTGGAAACAAAATTTTGAAAATTGTCAAAAGTATAGGATTTACCTCTGCCAGAAGATTATTTAATCAAAAAAGCTATTGCTATTAAAAAACATCTGGAAAGGAATCAAAGATAAGGACAGCAAGTTCTGATTGATTCTAATGGGGTCTGGAATTCATTGACTTGCATATTTTTATAAATCAAAAAGACCTTCCTCCCCCTGTGGATACCATGACTAGCAATTAATTATAAAAGTACATGGTCATTGAAGACCGAGAACAGTTTTTGTAGTAATATAAACAAAGTATCATGTGATAACATGTAAAGTGTTTCACGTATCATTCTTGGCATGCTAATATTAGTCGCACGCAGCGACCAAGCTCGGTACAAGGTACTGATATTGGCTGCATACGATTGCCGAAATCCTGGTACTAGTGTTTGATTGAAAGAGTTAAAGAAATCAAAGTTTAAGTCACAATGAAGACTTCATCAGAGTTTAGAAGTCAAAATTATTATAGAAAATAATTAAAGAATAATTACAAAGTTCTCTTGACTTCAAAATTGGATTTAATCTCATTTATGATTTTTTATATAAAAAACAATAAAAATTATTCTATTACATATTACTAATTATTGAACAATAATTTTTATGTATCTTGATGTTCGTATATTAAAATAAGTAATTTTACGTATATTTACATCACTTTAATAATAATTACGTTTTATTAGTAAACATAATACATTTAGCATATAATGCATTTAACTTTTGTATGCAGTAGTCCTCGCGTAACTGACCAGCGTTTATCTCCATCAATTTTTGGAATTGGAACTATCCTCACTCTACGCTTTTTGTTACCCTGCGACTTTCCTGAAACATGACACTTTACAAACAAAACAAATGACATATATGATACCGATATTGGTGCGTGGTATCGGTGAAACACTTGACGCTCATCCCCACTTTTTCTTTTGATGCCAATTCCTTCATACTTAACTGACCAGTTTCGGTCCCAATTGTTGGTCAGTGACGGTTACGTGAAGGCTACTGTATTTTGTGTGTTCTATAAAATATATAATTTCTTATAAAAAATATTTTAACTATACTTTGACTATTATGTATTAAATATAAAAATAAAGTTAATTCATATAAAATGGCGAATTATTAAATGACAATTAAGATTTTATACTTATGTACAAATATATTTTAAATTGGAGATAATAATTTCTTGTTTTGTGATCTTCTGGTGACGCGCTGCAAAGCTGAAATTAAATTTCAAATATTTATTATGTACATTTAATACTTTTAGTATGGTAAAAACTAGAATAAAATAATTACGTTTTTCTTCTATTTCCAAAGGAGAAATTTCCATGCGTGTGCCATTACTCCTACTCCTACTTTTACTTCTTTTAACATGCGGAGTCAAAGGTAAAGACGGTTTATTTGTCCCATCACTATATTCTTTTTCTGAAACAAAATATGCTCATTTAAAACATCATATTTAAAGAAGACGAAGTACTAATACCTAAATATTTATTTAAAATTATCTGTACCAGAAAACTTTACACTTTTAGTCGATTTTCTCTTGTCTTTGCTTTTGTCTAAAGATATATCATCACAATTGCGACATAGCAATTCTATATCATTTCTTTCATTAGTATTCAGTTTAAAACGACTTCTCCTTTTTCTCTTATCAATAGGAGTTTCGGTTTCTTTATGTTCTGTTTCTTGTACATTAACAGACATTTTTCTAGAAGATCTTCTCTTAAGTCTGGGTGTATCTGTTGAAATAATAGTTCTGTTCCTTAAAATTCTCGTAGTTTCATTTTGTTCGTCTGTTCCCTCAGTACTACTTATAGACTGTTTTTGTAATTTGTCATTCAATATATTTAAATCAATGTCATCTATGTTTTTTTTAAGGGATATGGAAGTACTTGTATTTAATGGAGAAGTCTGATCTAAAGTTGATTCAACCTCATCTATTGCATTTTGTCTTGTGATCCTCCTTAATGATTTATTAGAATTTTGTTTTATTTCTTGTAATGGTATAGACTTTTGTATCTGTATAGATGTTTTAAAAATATTTTCATTCGATGAATTTTTATTTTCCGGAGATTTTTTATCATCCTCACTTTCCTTATAACTATTGTCATCAAAATCCAGTTTTTTTTCTACATTAATTTTTACTTCATCTGTATTATCAAAGTCAAAATTATCTATTGTTGATAATAGATTTAAATCCATCTTTGTCTGTGTTTCTTCATCAACTGATACTTCATTTAAAATTACATGATCATTAAAATTAATTTTATTTGTTGATTTTACACATTCTGTTTCACTTGAATTCTTTTGTTGTTTCAATATGCTCTTTCCTGGTGTCTTATTAGAATTAATGTATGATATTGAATTATCTAGCTGAATCTTAGGAGTTTTACACATTTGACTTATCTTTATTAGTGTTAGTGGACTTCTTGTCTTCTTTGATGTTTCAGATAATTGTATCTTTTGTAATAAACTGAATCTATTATTTTTTACAAATTTATTTTCATTACAATTAAGAGATCTGGATTTTATTTTGTTTTGTTTTATGTTAGGACTTTTATTGTCACATTTGCCATTTATACTACGATTTGAATTAAATTTAATTAAATTTAATTCTTTCATATCATTATCATTTTTCATTTTTCTTTTCTTTTCTGCTAAGAAAGCTCTAACAGAACTTGATTTAGTTGGTACAACTTTTTTTTTAGAAACTTTCCTTTTAGTAACTGGTTTATCAATAAACAATTCCTCTTCTTTCCAGCCTTGTGCACGAAGTTTTTCCAATTTTTCAAATCGTAAGTTACAATTTTCTATTTCCATGTACATCATATCCCAAAATCCTTGCAAATCTTTACAAGTCACTAACATTTTTCCTTTTCCTGTTTCACAATCATTAACTAATCCACGGAATCGTTCAAACTTTTTGTTTATTAACAAATTTGTTTGTCCAATAGCTTGATTTATTTCATATTGACCATCTTCTGTAGTGTTGGATTGCTTTTTGATTTCTATCCATTTTTCACATAATTCATTTAATCTATTTATTTCTTTACTCAAAAGAAAATGAAAATATTGTGCAGTGTGTTCTTCTTCTTCAACTGAAATATTTAAATTTCTCATAACTGTATCCTTCGTGGGAATATCATCACCCAAAGAATGACGAATAAGACCTTTCTTTAACTGTTGCTCTTTCCTGGCATTACTTTTCCCACGACTAGAAACTATGTGAGGTGAGAAAAAAGCTGGCTCACATGGAGAATTTGACATAGATTTATTATTGTCTGAAGAGCTCAGTGTATCCTTAGTTATCGTTTCGTTATCATTACTACTGTTACTACTAACAGAATTTGTTGTTTCTGTATCTTTAAATAATAATTTTATTGATCTAGATTCTATAGAATTATCACTTGTCTTAGTCACTGGTGAACAATTTTTCTTTTTAATGATTTCTGTACTATTGTTTTTAATGGTGCTGCTCCTAGATCTTGTCATTTTTAAGGGAGAACGTAAAAATTGTTGTACACTGTCAGGTGACATACTTTGTATGACTACTCTGCCGAATAATGGTATATTAGGCAATCCTGCTGGAGCTTTAAATATGTGACCCTCTGGAGCAAAGGACTTCTTTTTTTGATCATTATTTAATTCGTCTGAATTCTTATTAGCATTTTTTGCACTTAAATTCTTCTGACTTGCTTTATACATAAGTCTTTTCTCTGTTGCCTTGCTTATCTTTCTGACAACAGGCTTAGATGGGATATTTGAAGCTACTGTCGATTTAGTAGCTGTGTAATTATTGGGTGAATATATCTTATGATGCACAACACCAACTACAAAAGGTTGTTTCTTTTTGCGTTGTTCAACCTTTTTACGTTTATCACGTTCAACCCTCCATTTTTTAAGTCTAGCAAGACGATCTTGTACTACAGGATCAATCTGTGCGTCTGGAATTACGTTTTAGTTAGTTATTTATAAAGTTATGTGTAAGATAATATAAATGTATAATAATGTAAATCTTTACCCTGTGTGTTTATTGTGCTATTTGATAAATTACGATTATCATTAAAAGCCCTTGTTCTATGGCTTTTACACGATTCCGTATATTCTTTTGCACGAGTAACACGACTTTTTTCTCTACTTTCGGTGTTGAATGTCTTGTATTTCTGTTGATGCATTGCTATTTTATTTAAAGTTTCACTTTCTACGGAATTGAACGCGTCTCTCTTTTCACTGTTTGCAGTTCAACGGAAAACAATTTAAATATGTTACGCTGTAACAGTGCTACCAATAGTAACTGTTTCTACCAGTCCTCTTAAAATCCAAATTTCGAAGAAACGAAAATATAAATGAAATTGTAAATGGGTAACTACAAACGAAACATTTTCTTTAATAATTTATTATTATAAAGCTATTACGAATTAATATAAAACTCAATATATGAATACCGGAATTTTTTTCTGACTGAAATTTGTAAAATTTTATATTTTATTTATTTATAATTTTAATTTATAATTTAATTTTAATTTTAAAATTAGAACTTTTTCTCATTAATATAACTGTTAAGCGATTCCGTGTTGAAATATTACTAGCGATGTGTGTTTTTACTTGGTGTATCTTTTTTTATAATTTATAACGATGTATTTTATTAAATATAATTTTTTATTAAATCATATCATTAAATGTAATTAAAAACTTGAGATACAAAAAATTAATGTTAAAAATAACGTTTAACGTAAAACATGAAATTGATAAACCGGATGTGATGTAAGAAAAAAAATCTTTGCGCGCCAGTGCGGATTTGAACTTTCGTGTAACAGCTGTTCAATTCTGCTTTCAAAAACGTAAGTATTTTTCTTATCGTAGTAATTTTGCATGCGTGTTCTTATTTTTTTTTTTAAACAATATATTTCAATGATTAGCCATGAAAAATGTAATTTTCAAATGTAATTGACAAATTTTTTTCAGTCTACATGCGTTATTTTTCAAGTTCTTCTTAATGATTATTTGAACGAATCTTCCATTAATTATTTAATTTAACGTTTGAGCTTATTACTAAATTACAAGAAAATTTGTTTTTCGTTGTCTAAATATATCAGAATTAGGGAGAAATAAACTATACACTTCACTGTTAATGCTAAAACTTATTTACAACTTCTATTAAGATTAAAGAAATCTCTGTTAGAAATTCTTCTATACACGTCGATTTTCTTTCATTTCTACATATTCATTATGCATATTTAAAAAATATATGTTTGAAGACCTGGCATTAGTCTATGCTTAAACAACGATTAACGTGAGCTTCCAATAAACGCAGATTTTCGCAAGTATGATTGCAATTTGGACACGAATATGGTAACGGTGGATGTTGCAATCCTTCAGTAGAGTTCATCTAAAATTGAATATATAAAATATAATTTGTATTATGTTACAAATTATCAGATCGTATATCTAAAGAAACATGGAAACAGTTGAACTTACATGTCTTTCAGAACTAATTTTCGACTGTTCGTGAAATTCTATTTGCTTCTGTAAATGCTCACTTAGTGCATTTTTCTCTTCTAATGCCAACTCTTTGAGTTTTCTCTCTTGTCTAAAATCTTCTTCATGAAGTTTTAATTGCGTTTGTAATAAACTGATATCTTCCTTCTGCATTAATAATAAATGACTATTGGTACATTTATTGTCAAAACTAATTACTTAATTTTCGTTCATTCATACTTACATGCTGCATCAATTCTTTCTCCAGCTCTTTTATAGTTACTTCTTTCTTCTCAAGACTTTCATGCATTATGCCAAGTTCAGTGATTAATTGATTACATTTTACTTCGAACTTCTTTTTTTCTGATTCTAATGCCTTTTTGTAATGAGTCTCATATAGTAGACTTTGTTGATCCAAAGATGACTGTTCTTCTTGTAAACTTATTCTTTCTTGTTGTAGGAGTTCTTTAGCATCATTTAAATTTTTATATTCTATTTCAAGGGTCTCTTTTCGACTGTCGAGCAATTTCTTTTCTATTGTAAGATTTTCTTGTTCCTTCCGAAGTGCATTCCTTTCTTCTTCCAATAATTGTTTACTATCAACAATCTGTTTTTCCAATTCTGCTATTTTTTGAACAGATTCGGAAGTTGCGCCTTGTTTCTGCACTCTTTCTTTCTCAATATCTTCATTTATCATTGAGTCCAGTTCAGCAATAATTGATTTGCTAAGTGTGTTTTCAAGTATAGAGATCTTTTCTCCTTTTGTATTATCTTGTTTGTCATTTGCATCAAGGAGCTACAATAAAACAGTGATCTTAAGAAATATATAATTTGAAGTATAGTCTAATGGTCAAATGCATTATACCTCGTATCCCATTTCTGTGTGACTAGTTAATTCAGTGCTAAGCCTCATTTTTAAATCAGCATTTTCTTTCTTAAGGTAATTTATTAATTCTCTAGTCTCGGCAAATTTTTTCTTATGATCTTGGTGTACTCTCATAATTTCTTCATGCCAAGTGGCTAGACTGTTGAATTGTTGCTTCATAGCTATGTTATTTTGTTTCAATGTTTCTTTTAATTTAGTGTTTTCTTGCAACAATTCATTTAATTTTCGATGTACCTCTGCTGAATCCCATGATGCTATCATGGAATTGTAGTCCTGTACATAAGTTAATTCAAAACAAGTTTATTGAAACGAATTTGAGAAAAAACAAATTTCAGTCAATAAATAGATACATACAATAGACATAGATTTTTGTTGTATATCAACATAAGATGCAAGTGACGATTGTTGAATAGTATCCAGTGAATCTTTACCTAGCACCACAAAAGATAGTGATGTGTCATCTGCATCAGCACCACAAAAGTTTGTCACTGTTGCTTTAGAATGCAAAGGTGCATCCTCGTCCAATTTGAATCTGGCCTTTCCATTGTTTAAGGTAAAGCCAAGGCTTTGTAAATGGCTTTCTGGTTCAGGATATAGTTTTTGATTGATATTTAATGGTTTAGTCGCGTCTTGTTCTTGCGACGAAGGTTTTTTTTCTTCATTAGACTCCATGGTTGGGAAATCATTTGCATCAATGCTTGCACTATAATTAATAATTATAGTTTCTTAGCAACAGCAAGTATTTTATATGTATATTTTCTTAAAATTCTGAAAAAACCATATCTATAATTTGAATATCAATCAAGTGATATCGAAAATATTTTTAAAAGTTACGTCATAAATAATATAATAAAAAAAAGTTAATAAACAATAGCTTAGAATTACAATTTTTTACATGCCAATAAACATGACAATTGACATTAATGCATTAATATCTTTTCTCCTGTTTTCAATAGAATTCAAACTTACCGAAATCATTGTCTTATTAACATTATATTGCACAAAAATGACAGTTCATTATACTTCACTTTATACGTATTGATATATTGGTTGACTAATGATAATGTTATGTGGTCATCTCTACGACTATGTTCTAATTATAGAACAAAATAATATGGACTTGTCAATAAGAAGTAATATTTCTTAACTTTTTCTCTGTTATTGATTTTTATGCTTGGAAATTAACTTTTGGTATCAGAGTGCATTTAGAACAATTATGCGACTTATTGTGAAAACCTTAGACAAATCACTAATTCGCTGTGCGCACAAAATGTCAGAATTTTTCTTACCAACGGCGCGATATCACTATCTAGTGTTTTCCACCAATTGTATTTCAACATTGACTTGAGGATAGTATAGATGTAAAAAGTTATATGAAATTTTGTTTATTCATATAAGCATTGACTAATTATAATAGTAATACCATTGAATAAGAATAGAATTGATAGAATGGACTAGATTCATGTCTAGTTTATTCTTAAAGAAATTAAATCTATTAAATTTTAATTTAAAACCAGACCAAGACTCAAGAAATAAAATCACGTAATTTTTCATGTTTTGTAGACATAACATTTTTTTAAAAATTTTATGAACGAAAACAGGGAATTTGTATTCTTTTTCTTTTTTTTCAATTTATGCAATATATTGTATCTTTCGATACGAAATGCGCGCGCAATAATTATAACTTTAGTGAAGATTGCAGCGCCAATGAGATGCTTGAAATCTCGCAGTTGCGTATTGTGATTCTCGAACGATAATCGATGTTTTTTTAATCGATCTAATATTGGAATGTAACGTAAATCGTCAGTTTTAGGCGGGAACATGGCAGGAGACGTAGAAAGAAGCTGCTTATCGAGAAATCGTCAAGTAAAGACCAGCGGTAAGGCTTGTTTTCGAATTGTCCAATACATACATCTACAATTTAAAACAGATAGCGTTATTTAAAAGCGTTATTACATATGTGTGTTCAATTATGATTTGTTACAGACATTTCTAACCGGTGATATTTGCAACGATTTCCTCTGGGCCACGATTGCAAATGTCGCATTTAATTGTAAGTCGTACATATTTTTATTTCTTTAGTCATTTAATTACGAAGGTTAGATTATCATGAATAAGAGTAAAAATATGTGTAACAATTTCAAAAATGAACTAAACATTTATACTGCTCTTATATTAAATCAAAAGGGTGCAAGTTTCGTTTAAATCAAGCCAAAATAGTTTATCTATATATAAGAAAACCTCAACTGCGTTGAAACTGAAGATATAATAATTTCTATTTATTATTGTGATTGTTACATACTAAAAATCTCTTTTTTTAAAGTCGTTTGTCAAACTTCCTTCTGATTAGATACACCTATTTGAATTAACATGGCACTATATAATCGGAATGCATTAAAATTAAAATTGAAGAACATTAAAATATAGTGAATTTCGTGTGAAGTAATAGACAAGGTATGGGATAAACACATTTTCTAGAAGTTTGTGACACGTGACCTGCAATATCGACCATGGTAAAGGAATCATTCGTTTTTTAGCGCACTCTATATTTAAAAAACAGTAACTCGGAGAATTATAAATAAAACAGTCGAAATTGATCAGGTAGCGAATACGCCAGAGATATGATGTCGGAATAATTTCATTTATACATTAATATATTATTATATTAATATATTATAATTTGTTAAATTTTATCAAATTTTCAATATCGGAACCGTGAAAAAGTCAAATCACTTTATTAAATCGAAAAGAGCTTCATCTGTATTTATGGATTCATAGGTTTCGATAGGTTTTTGCACGTTATATATTAAAATTCTAAAGCTATTAATATATATTTAGTTTATAATAAAAATGATTTATATTTCATGAAACATTCGTTATGAAAAGATCTTTTATTTATTGAAATGCACACGAGATAAATTTAAAATGGGCCTGATATTTATTCACAAAGGAGGTAGAAAAATAGATCTATCATCTTATGGATCTTGATGTTCTGAAATTAAAAAATAACAACAAAGGCTACAATCTTCTACAATATTAATGTTAAAGACACTATACATTCACAAAAGTAGGAAGAAAAGAATTCAGTTTACAGTTTTAGAGATCAATCTACAATCTACAATCTCTCTAAATCTCTCCCTTTTCACGAACAATGGAAGTTTCATGGAAAACCGACGTGGCCCTACCTACTTATAGCTAATATTCACACCAAATGCTACCTATCTTGTCTAGTTCTATATTTCAAAAATGGCAAGCATATCAACACAAACATTCCAGTTCTCACTTAAGCCATTTGAATGCAAAGAGCTTACAATCTAGGGAGTGCGTCCCAGGGCATTGCTCTGACACTGGAGTTCACACTCCAATAAATACGTACCATTTTCTTGAAATCGACTGTTGCACGTACAAAGAAAGTGATCATTGCACAAGTCGCGATAAAAAATCGATTATATTCTGATTTCAATTAGCAAATTGTGGATGTACAATTGAAAGAGTTTGCGTGTTTCTTCAAAAACAAAGCCATGTGATCCAATGAGCTATATTACAGATGAAATTTGGTACCTTCATTGTAATTTTGTTATTTTCTACTCTAAGACTTTATTAAAACTACTTTGAGAAACTATTCTAGAAATTTAACTAAAGTTGAATTCATGTGCTAGCTGAATGTTTCTTTCTCAATTTCGTAACTAGTAAGAGCGTCAACTTCTCTCCAGAAAAAAGACATTTACTCTGCTAATTACTAAATTAATTCGTTCAGTAAAAGTTTGATCTGCACACACGTCTCTGATATCATCTTGCCTTTTTCCATTTTATCATCATTCTGACGCGACTTATAGGATAAAATTAAAAGGACTCAGATAAAGATAAAATTATCGTTTTATCGATATACGCTTATATAACGAAGTAGCGTGTCATTTTGATGCGTACACCAGATATACCCACGTTGCGAAAGAGTGATTATAATATGACCGAATATATTAAAATTTACTATCGCATAATGATCGACAAATATTTCACAAGATTGAATATTATTTTGTTAGCGTGAGTTTTAAGTTCTTAATTTCAAGTAAAAAGAAGTACCACTATCCTGTCCTTCGTTAGTATACTATATACATTATTTTCGATGTGGAGAGATTTATTATTAATTATTTCAGTTATTATTGTATTACTAATTATTTTAATTTTACTTGTAAAAGACAAAAATAAAGAACAAGAAATCGAGTTTGTTTGTTAGTTACTGATATATAAAAATTGTCTAAGACATACTTGATGATCGGCAAATCTCTATGCGAATGAACCTAGAACAATTTCGGCGATAGACAAAAGAAAATTTCATGGATAAATTTTAAGAAAATGTAATTTGACAAGCAATAAACAAATATAAAATATATGTTCCTATTACAGAGCAGATTATTATCATTAATGCGGTAAATGTGATATTTAGATTATCAACCCTGATAGTGTCTCTATTGTAAATTTGCAATTGTCGCTATAAGTACAGTGATTCTTTGATATTTCATATTTTAGTACTATAAAAAAATCTTTAATAAAATCGTGGATTACATTTTAGAAAATTGTAGATTAAATTTAGATCTTTTTACAAAAATTTCCAAGAGAATATCAAAACTTTAAAGTACAGAAGAGAATATCAAAGCTTGCTCTATAAAAGTTGAAACTTGAAGAGGATTAAATTGGCTGGTAATTAAGACAATATTGGCCTGCGTAATTAAACAAAAGAAGAACACAAAGTCAACATTATGCACGCAATGTTTTTCTACTTCAGTTCCATAATCAATTAGCTATTGCTTACGAAAGTAGTGTTGGCTATACTATCAAAATGTAAAGGATGTAACTCGTACACAAGAGATAAGCCAATTTTTTTATTCTTGAAAAACTATCTTCTTTTCTATATCGCAAATAAACGAACTCTGAAACGATTCGATGTGTCGAATCTAAAACAGTTATATAATTTCATATCTTTTCCTCTTCCATTTTTTATACCTTTAAGTTATCTATATTAATAATTATTTGCTTCGTTTCGTCAAATATTTAAAATTTCTGGGCGCGATATTTTTGAAAGATTATTTAAATCTGTCATTTTTCACATTGCTTTATCACGTTTTCTTTTTTTGCAGATATGTACGTACAATGATATGCAATATCATTTATAAAGATCGAGTGTTGTGCAGTTACATCGCATATGCTAAGAAGAAACAGACATATTATGCTAGACAGACGCCTGTACTGTACCTGTCCTATTCTACTGATCTACAAACCAGACTACGTAATGCACTTTTATTTCTCACTTATAAAAATGAATATCTTATTAAATTTTTTGAATTTTTGCTTAAAATACTATTAATATTTATTAAAAACTAAACGAATATTTAAAAAAATATTTTGCATCGATATAAGAAAAACGAATACGTTTCTCTAAAAATAACATCATAATGTTATTATACATATTATATTTATTTTCAAGTATATAGTCTTTCTTTGCAGTAGTAATGATAGTTTGACTTTTGCAATTGCGTTGTTGTATGATATCAGTGAGTAAATATTAGAATTGTGCAGTAAAACTCTAGTCAGTCATTTGTCACTTTCAGATAAGTCATTTCTTTAAATTTCTTACTAGATTTGTATGTGCTCGATTATAATAAAAGATTTTTTGGGAAGGTTATTTATTGATAATGTTATTAAAATTCTGCGTTCTTAGTTATACTCTGATTTTCATTACATGTATAAATAATCAAAGATTTATCTTTGAAAGAGTGAAAGAATTACTGTAACGTAAATAAATATGTAAAAAGATCACTGGATGTAAATAAATATATTTTTAATAATATTCCCCTAAATAGGAAATTACAACCATTGTACAAAACCATGTTAAATCGTGATCTCGACACATGATATACGATTTATCTAAATGCGATAAATCTCGAGATTGAATGCTATAACTCCCAGAATTAATATTCTTCAGAGAGATTCTAATAACTGAAATAGAACTGGAGGAGAACTTGAAAACTGCACTCTCGGACGATTTCGTCAGAGGTGGCGTGATTGTCAGGCCAGACTTCCAACGAAACTCACGTGACATTACTATTACTATTAACAATAATGTCATTGAATACTTGATAAGAAACTGTTAAGCGGTATTACACATCTAAAGAAAATGTGCTTTAATACACATAATTATTCGAGGAATGATTATCAAAGCAAAATGACTGAATTAGTTATAATTTTTTTCCTTCGTAGAAAATTATAATTGACGTAATTCTTACATGACAGACAACCATGATCATTATGAAACTATTGAAGATTATATTTGTACGATAAATAAAATATAATAATTTTAGGAACAAAATAATTAGAAGATTTAATAACATTTTATTTATATTGCATTAATGTGATATTTCATTTGCAATTATTTTCAATTAATCTATGTCATCAAATTCTACTTTTTAATATTAGAATTATGAATGAGAAGTTTCCAAGAAACTTGAGTTGAGACTATAATTTTACAAAATTAAAAAAAAATTGAAGTATTTATAACATTACGATAAAGTATAAGAAACGAAAGAAGAACGTTATTTCAATTACTACTGTATAGAATCTATGATAATCTATAATAATCATAGATAATTAATTTCGAAAACATCATATATATATTATATATAACAAGCACAATTATCTCTTTTAGAAAATTTTCTCTTTTAGAAACAATAAATTTAAGAAACATAACACTCTAATCTTATTATTTCTTATTTTTTTCCAGAGAAGTCCAAGAGGAACAATGATTGAAACTTCAATTTCCAAGATTTTTGATGATGTAAAACATCCAATAACCATGATGTTTTCAAGATTTCAAATCCTATCAAAGAATATCGAGAAATTCCTTAAATATCGAGAATCATATTAAAATCTATCAAGAATATCGAGACTCCTGAAACCGTCAAAACATAATAAGGCATTTAAAGTTCCCAAGGTTCACCGAAATTTTGGAAACTCAAAAAGGCTAACAATAGACTTTCGTAAGTTTCAAACCAAGCAATTCGAATTTCTCGCAGTGCAACATATTCAACACCCACCAATTTCCAAAATTTTAGAATATCTATCAAGAATATCGAGACACCTGAAACCTTCAGAAGCTACCAAGGCTTGCCAAAGGTCATCGAAATTTCAGAGACTCGGAGGATCTAACAAGCTCTCGAGATCCAAGAGGACTTTCAAAATATCAAACAAGGTTCAAACGTGAGTTGAACTTTCCTCTGTACGTATATACTCGAAGCTTTCTAAAGCACATCACCAAACAGGAACATTATTCCGCAGCCAGTAAACTCGCACGATACACTATCGGATGACATGTTCCTCGTCCAGTCTGCGATAAGGTTCGCCCGCTAGCTGGCGACACTATCGATCATCCGAGGAAACGCGCATCACGGTACGAGCAGGCGCGCAGGTTGGTACACCAATCGCGCCTGTCTATTTCCGTAGAGGTCGAACGCGTGTGCCAGCGAGAGCAGTTCGACGTGCTCGAAGGTTTCACTGCGGCTTAGACTTTAGCCGGACGGGGTTTGTCTTGTCCCCGTCGTACGACACCGTAAGTACACCGAATTATTGAATGAAATTCCCCGTATTTTCGACTGCTCTCACGGTGTTACGTTCGCGCGGTTCGTCGCGTCGCGTAAAAATCGTGGCCAGGCGTCTTTTACGCGCGCCGTTTTCCTTTTTTCTCCCCGGCAATGAATTATTGACAATTCACGGTCGCCGTATGCAAGTGACTGGGCGAAACTGGCCCAGAAACCTGAAATCCGTTGGCTGTCGCGATCGCAGTGCCGAAACGCAATGACGTGTGCCTGTGTTCTGTTATAAACATCGCGTGCGGGCCGCTTTTCGCGGTCCGCGCCCACGATGGAACTGACCCACGCGAATTGTACTGTTGGGTGCAAGAAGGGCAAGTGACGAAAATCGGCCACACGTTTGAAAGTGAAATATTTCTAGTACGTAGAGTGAAGTTATTGTAAGAATTAAATAATATTACTATACTTCAAATACTTTGTAACATTAAGAGATTTGGCAGCTTTGTTAACACAATACCAGTCACAATTCATTTCAATTCGTTTCAATCGTAATTCGTTGTTAATACAGACTTATTTTATTTTTCATAATCGTACTGCTTTGTATATTTCATAATATTAGGAAATTGCACAATGTTGTAACAGAATTTGGTTCGTAACTCGTTTTATTCTCGTATTGGTAGAGACTCCTAACTCATTCTATTTTTCGTATTTGTATATATACTGATATGTGTTTTACTGGAGAGGTCCTCAGCGTCTCAAGATCCTTCTTGCTTTCAACAATGCAATTGCCGTGGATTTCAGATGCGCCGATTCTATCTCGTACGTGTACCAAATTTTCTTTTCAATATTGTTACTTGCTCCGCGGCTCGTCCGAATTCGAATTGGCGCATCCGCGATTGCAACACATTCCTGTCTATGTGTATACACAGATATGTGAAATCGTCGAGTACATTATTAATCTGAAAAAAGATTTTGTTTGTTTCGTACATTTCTGAGAATACGCGGTGACGCGAAGAAGAGATAGATCATTTCGTACAATATTTCCTTACTGATAAAAGGACGAGTGAAGTTACAATTAAAAGTAGAATGTACGTTTTGGAGGAAGTTGCTTCGTTTTGTGGATTTTTCAAAAACACATATCTATGACGATAAGAGAAGCACAAAGCTTTTTGCATATTTTTTTACCGAGATGACAAGAAATTTAGTTGAACATTGGAACGTTTATGAACGTTCTTGATCGTACGATCAACCCCGAATGACGTTTCGGACATCGTTTATGTAATAACCCGGTGAATCGCTATTTAATCGACGAGGTCTCGATGCAGGGTCGAAGATCATGATCCTCTATGTTGATTGCTCGAGCGTCGACTTAAACTTTTCGTAATCAGAATTTTGGTGTCAACAATAGCTTCAATCAATTTTGCAACTTTGCACGATCTAGAGAAGGAAATTATTCTTTTTTTTGCGTGCGTTTAGTAACAGAATAACAGAAAAAAGTTTCTTTACTGCATTTTTAAACTAGAAACTGGAAGAATTGTCTGTCTGGAATGTGTTAATCGTAAATTTGGAAATTAGTTTCTTCGTAAATTTATTAATTTATAAATTAATGGAATCGAAATGATGGAATTGTAAAATTTTATTAACCTGACGAAATAATTTTTCATTACTTAATGCATTGTATTTATGTAACAAAATGTTATTCAATGTGACAATTTGCTCTTTTCCAAGCAGATTGATTGAATTTTTGGTTGCTCTTATTGAGTTACTACGATTTTACAATTGGCACATTGATCGTCGCGCGAAATTTATACGTTTTGACTCTATGAAACAGAATATTCAATTTTTATAAAATATTATGTTACAATAAAAATGCAGTGATAGCGCGTTCCTTACTTTATAGCATTATATAATTATTTACGTTATTTAAAATTTTTTGTCAATGATACTCATTTTACTCGAATCATTTAAAAATAATTAAAAATTCTGTGGCAATCAACGCGTTCGATTTGTACAGCCGCGTGCTATAAACCAATTTTTTTTTTTCATTTCGACTATTTGAAATCACTGAAAAATAATGGTAACAAGAATAGAAAATTGAATGAGAATTAAAATTCCTGCATCGTCGCGTGCATTATTGAAAAATAATGGAAATTAAATTGAAAACCAAAATGAAAATCGAAATTCCTGATCATTATTGAAAAATGCTTTTTTACAATAAATATTGATACTTTATAATTTATTTCTGCTTTAGTATACGTTTACAACATTAGTAATAGTAATTATATTACACCAATTTTAATAGAATATTTCAACGTTGTTAATTGTAATTCATTTTTAAACACGAATATCCCTTTTCGAAGTTCGTGTCTAAAGTTCTGTTTAGAAGTATTGGTTCATAAATATTTATACATTGACGCCCGTGAATGTGGAATTTGCAATGCACGTTTTTCAGATATATTCAACAAGTCGCCTTTTGCACATTTCTTTCGCACATTTTTTTGGAATGCAGTGCAGAAGTGGAATTATACTTTTCGTAGCATTTGCGCATTACATTACTATGAAACGAGGAATAAGTAAAACGTTCTATTCATTATTGTGAGTATAAACGGAGGACAAGCAAAAGTAAATTACCATTGTTATTAAAAATTCAATACAACACAGTGGTAATTGATATGTAAACAACGTTAGGATTAGGTCAATTGTTCATTGTTGAGTCATATCGACAAAGACAAAAAATAGAATAGGATTTGTTAGTGTTCTCTGTCCTTCTTATATCTTCAATCTTCCTTATCTACTCGTTTCATAATTGTCTGAGTAATTCTCACATTCATGTATACCATATGATGAATGAAAGGCATATTTTTAAATGCATCACTAGATGTATTACGTATAGTTGGTTGCTTGGTTAGAAAAAGAAACTACAATAAATATTACTAAATTAGGTTGTTTCGTTTAGTAATAGTTTCAACGTGGTAGTTTCGCATCTCATAAAATAATCATAATATAGAATTTTAGTTCTTGAAGTAATTCTCGAGGCAATCATAATATAGACTGTCGTTGATTAATTTTCTCTTACAGAAATTTTATTCTAAAAAATTTTTCTCTGGGAAGACATAAATACATGTGATGTTATTTTGTTATATAAAATTAAGTTAATTAAATTAAATTGAATTAATAGCATAAAATATGAAATAATACATTTATAAGTATTTTAAACAACAAAATTTCTTCACGTAGATTTATTTATTTTCTGTGTATCGTGAATCATCTCACTGATAACTACTGTGACAAGCCACTGTTCGACTTCTCAATGAGACTGATAGTAAAAGTGCCAACTAAAGAATTAGAATTTCAGTGATTGATAGATACCAATTAGGAACGTATATACGTATAGACGTAAATCATTGCACTGATCAATTTTTACGTTTCTCCTCTTCGCGAGTTTTCTTTTGAAACTCCACTCCTATTAAATTTGTCCTTCGACGCGCGTTTTTTTTACACTTTCATTCATATTTTATCTGTACTCGATAACGTAAAACTGTGTGGTCAACTGTTGAAGTTGAATAGTGACGGATGTTCAACTGCGTTGGTTAAACATCGATGCGTTGCGGCTTCGTCTCTGATGCAACTGCAATTCGTGTGATAAATAGACACGGACGCGTTAATTGACGTCTATGCATGTATGAATACTGCGATGAGAGCACGTGTGCCAGTAGCATGTGCTAGTAATGCGATCCGTTGTTTTTTGCAATCCTTTTCTTCTCCTTATATTGCGCGTTATCCGTCATTTCAGTGAAACTTATGCGTTCTCTCTCGCTTTCTCAAAAAAATTTCCATACGTATCTCAATTGGATTTTATTGGAAAAGATATAAATACGATATAATAACATTATATATTAAATATACATAGAAATCGTGGGTTTGAATGGAGAAAAAACAAAATGCATGTTATTAACAATAAATCTCTCAGCAAGAGAGAAAAAAATACGCAATGTCTAAATATCTAGTCAAAATCAAAGCCAGAGCTGGAGACTAGAGTTTAGTCTAGTTAGAAATATTAATTTATTTTACTTTATTAAAATATCAATATCACTAAATAATATAAATTGTAAATAATTTAATTTATGCAGTTTGAAAGTTAAAAGTAAAAAGTGTCCCAAGGCGAAACCGCGAAAGTTGCGCAGCAACGTTCAAGGACCTGTCTTTCAACTTTGAAATCGTATTCTTTTTCTTTGAGAAGCTAATGTCACAATTATCTTCTTCAATAAAATGTCACAATTATCTTCTTCAATAAAATACACACACTACAGATAGTCTGAAGGAACCTAGTGCCAAAAAGAACGAGGAAATCATGAAGAAGAGGTGGCTCCTCAAGAGTCAATTAATGTTCCTACCACCCTGCCAGATGTATCGATTCAGTTGACGCCCCTTTTTCGGATTAACGTCGAAATTGCCTAGCTTTGGTTGCTACCACGCTCTTCAATGCAGCCCTTTAGCTTAGTTTTCATCCGGCTACTCGTGAAACTGACGGATCAGCTGTTTCAATCTTAACAACACTTTTAATGCTCCAGATCGATACCGTTTTCTGGCGCCGAGTTGCTGTTAATGGACTCACACTGTTGTAAAAATTGCGAGAGTGACAAGCGCTAGGGTGTCGAGTATATGTGTAGCACTCGTTATAATATTGAATGGATAGACTGTGGACATTTCAAAGTGAAAAATTCCATAGAATGCGAAATATATGAAATATATTTCTAAGCAAACTGATTTTTAATATATTATAATATTTTTTACATGGAAAAGTTTTCGATACTATATTTTGTCTCTTGGAGAATTTCCAAAGTATAAACGATCCTGCTGATATAACACTCATCTTGTCCTATTATTAAAGCTACCTTGAAACTAAATTTTATTTCATTTTATTGTCTTACAAATTAATCATGCAAGTTAATAAAGTTTTGTCGTGCGTATGCTAATCCTTATTCTATCTATTAAATGCACAATTGTCTTCTACTTATAA